CATAGCGCTAGAACGCCCCTTTACCTGTCCCCCCGCTCCCAATGAGCTGGCGGCGCGCACTACTCGCCGATCGTGCGCATTCGTTATAGCGGCATCACCATAACGGCATATCACTTTAGTCCTCGCGTGATCATGAGTGCCGGCCATGTTTAGATCAACATGGTCGAGCCGCTGCTCGTCGCCGATCACGCCCAGCGCCACCAGCACGTCGTTGATCACGCCCTGGGACTGCAGCAGCACGATCCAGGACGTGGTCGCACCAGCAGCGACGTCCAGAATGGCAGCAGCACCCCGACCAGGAGCAGCGCGGCACGCGCGCGGCTCGTGCGCAGCAGGTAGGCAAGCTGGATAGCCGAGCAGCATAGCCCAGCACCGTGACTGCAGCTGACCGAAGCACGTCCGGCCGAGAGCCGCAGATCGTATTCCGCTGCTCTTCCGCGGTCGGACGATCTGCTCGCTCCGTCCTGCCGCGATCCCGGTCGTACGCGCTCAGGTCTATGGCGTCAGCGTCCAGCCTCGCTTCGGTCCTCGCGCTGTACAGCGCCCGCCACGTGGCGATCGCCTCGTCCCCACAGTTTATTGCGAGATCGGCCCCACCATGCCGTGCGCCAGTCATCGGTCTCCACGCCCTGCAGCACTCGCATGCTGCGGGTGAAGACGCTGCGCAGCCCGGCCTCCACGCGGTTGACGCGCGTGGCGATCTGGCCGAGCGTGCGCTCTTCGCCGCGCCAGCAGCAGCTCGCGTGCGTGTTTTCCTCCGATTACCGACGTATCGCGCCGGCGCGCGTCGCCGCCGTCCCAGCCGCGCAGCAGCGCCAGGGTGTCGGCAGCGCGTCGGCGACCACCGGATCGTGGACGCTGCGCACCAGCATGGTCCCCAGCGGCGCCAGGAACGCCACCCCGATGAACCCCGCCAGCGGCAGCACCAATGCCGCGGCGCGCAGGCGCGCGCCGCCCTGTCCGGACAAGAGCTGCCGGGGGCGGTTCAGCGGGCCAGCCACGCTCCGAAGCGGTCGTTAACCTCATCTCCGTAGTCGGCCCACCACAACCAGTCGTTGAACACCGACCGCTCCAGACGCTCCGGGGTCACCGGCATGTGCGGTTCCATCTCCACGCCGGTCTCGACGTGGGTAGCAACCAGATGCATCGCCGACAGCCGCGACGGGCTGTAGGAGATGTAGCCGCTTATGGCAGCCATCGACGCGGGCTGCGCCGCGTACGCGAGAAACCTGAGCGCCACGTCCAGGTTGGGCGCCCCCGCTACGATGGCAAGCTGCGTGTGGTCCAGCACCTGACCGTCCCAGACGATCTGGAACGGCTGATTCTCGACCACCTGGGCATCGAATATCCGGCCGTTGTAGGCGGTGCTCATCACCACCTCGCCGTCGGCCAGCATCTGCGGCGGCTGCGCCCCGGCCTCCCACCACACCACGTGACCCTTGATCGAATCCAGCTTGCGGAACGCCCGATCCACGCCCCCGGGAGTGCTCAAGATCTCGTATACCTCGCCGACCGGCACGCCGTCGGCCACCAGCGCGAACTCCATGTTGCCGTACGGCGAGCGCCGCATGCCGCGGCGTCCGGGAAACTTCTCCAGATCGAAGAAATCGGCCATGGTCGACGGCTCTGGTCCGCCAAGAAATCCGTGCGGTACGCGTATATGGTGGAATACACGATCAGCCCGACGCCGCATTCCGACAGCATCCCCGGCAGATAATCTTGCGCTGCCGCCTCGCATCCTGTCCGGGGAAGACATCCTGGGCCGCGACGACCTCCAACAGGCCTTCGTCGCAGCCGCGCACGGCGTCCGCCGCTTCCAGGTCGACGACGTCCCAGTGCACGTTTCCCGTCTCGACCTGGGCGCGAATCTCGGCGAGGCCGCCGTTGTAGTCCTCCACGTTCATCGTGTAACCCGTTTGGGCGCCGAACGGTTCCAGAAGCGCCTTCTCGGTAGCGCGACCGTACGCTCCGCCCCAGGAAACCATGGTCATTTCCTCGGCCGTGGCGCAGAGGCTCCCCACCAGCGCCACCAGCGTCAGAGTCACCGCAAGCCTGATCATCCTCATGCTTCTTCCTCCTCGTCGTCGATGTCCAATGCCCGGCAATCGGCTGCCGCCCATCCTATGGTGATCGTATCACCCTCCAACATCGCGCCATGCCCCACGATGTTGGGGAACTTGAGTGCGAAGTCGGTACGCCCGCCCGGCTCGCACGTGCACGATCAGATGATCGCCCAGAAAGGTGATGGCTTCGACCCGCGCTTCGAACTGGTTGCTGTACTCACGCGGCCGGGATGCGAGGGCGACCCGTTCCGGGCGAATGGCGAGGGCCACCGGGTCGCCCACCCCGCACGCCGCCACGCGATAGGCCGCGATCATCTGCCCGCTCACGGCAACGCGGCAGTAGTCGCCGTCGACGGCGGTGACCCGCCCGCGCAGCAGGTTGTTGCCGCCGATGAAGCGGGCCACGAACGGCCGCTCGGGCTCCTCGTAGAGGATCTCCGGGGACGCCACCTGCTCGATGCGCCCGCGGTTGAACACGGCGATGCGGTCCGACATCACCATCGCTTCCTGCTGATCGTGGGTGACGTAGACCACGGTGACGCCGAGCGAGCGGTGGATGCGCCGGATCTCGTACTGCATCTCCTCGCGCAGGCTGCGGTCCAGGGCGCCGAGCGGCTCGTCCATCAGCACCAGGCTCGGCTCGAACACCAGCGCGCGGCCGATGGCGACGCGCTGCTGCTGGCCTCCGGAGAGCTGGTCGGGCCGCCGGTCCTCGAATCCCTCCAGCCGCACCAGCCGCAGCGCCCGCTGCACGCGCTCCCGGCGCTGAGCGGGATCGAGGCGGCGCACCTCCAGCGGAAAGGACAGGTTCTCTCCTACCGTGAGGTGAGGGAACAGCGCGTAGTTCTGGAAGACGACGCCGATGTTGCGCTGCCGCGGCGGCAGATCGTGCACGGACCGGCCGGCGATTCGAATGGTGCCGGACGACGGGGTCTCGAACCCGGCCAGCATCATCAGGCAGGTGGTCTTGCCCGAGCCGGACGGCCCGAGCAGGGTCAGGAACTCCCCTTCGCGAACGCTCAGATCCAGGTCCCGGACGACCAGCGTGCGCCCGTCGTAGCTCTTGTCGATCGATTCGAATTCGACGTACGGCGGGACGCCGTCCGGGCCGGCGTCCTGCGCCGCGGCGGACTCACCCGTTTGCGCGGACACGCCTCCGGATGCGCCGGTCGCCATGGAACCCGCATTCTACCATGCGAGCGCCGATGTGCGGCCCAGGCTGGCGAGCGCCTCTTCCAGCGCTCCCTTGAGGACGTCCCGCGCTTGCACGGACTCCATGAAATCGCCGAGCATGTGCTTGCCTGCCGCCTTGATCTTGGCCGCCGCCCGGTCGTACTGCTCGGCCACCCGCGGATCGGCATGGCCGCCGGGAATGCCCAGCGACTGCGCCATGTCCTCGGGGACCGCCGGCGAAGAAGTCGATGCCGTCCACCTGCAGGATCTCGTCGAGGTTGTCGACCGACGTGACGCTCTCCAGTTGCGGGACCACCAGAGTGTTGCGATTCGCGGCCTGGAACAGCCCGAGGCGGTCGGGGCCCTCCTGGCGCATCACCATGGGATAGCTGGTCGAGCTGCGCAGCCCGAGCGGCGCGAAGAACGTGTACTGCACCAGCGCCTCCGCCTCCGCGCGCGTCTGCAGATTGGGGACCACGATGACCTGCACGCCGCGATCCAGATAGGACAGAATCGTCGATTCCGCGCCGTCCTGGATGCGCATGGTGGTGGTCATGCCGAACCCCTCGGCGATACGGCACACGGTACCGACCTGCTGCGGGGTGACCGGCGCGTGCTGGCCATCCAGGCTGACGAAATCCAGGCCCATCCGCCCGGCGAGCTCGATCAGTTCCTCCGAGGGCTCGTTCATCGATACGCCCAGCGCCTTTTCGCCGCGGGCCTTACGCCATAGGATCCGATTCTCGATCATGAGTGCGATTACCTCCGTGCGCGTCTGCGTCGTCGCCGCGTGTGCCCTGGCCGCCCTGCTCGCCTCCGCCCAGGCGGAGTCGGCCCCGCCGGGCGTCGTGTCGGCGACCGCGACCCTGCACCCCGACAACAGCCTTATAGCAGAGATCGCCGTGGAGCTCGACGCACCCGGCCGCGTGTATGTCGAGTACCACGGGCCGGCCGGCACGCTGCGTTCCGCGACAACGCCCGAGCCGGCCCGAACCGTCACCGTGCCGCTGGTGCGCCTGCTCCCGGACAGCGTCTACCGCTACACGGTGGTTCCGGTGGCCGCGGACGATACCGCCGGCACACCCGGAACACCCGGCTCTGCCGCTGAGGGCACGTTCCGCACGCGGGCGCTGCCGCCGGCGCTCGCGCGCCTGCAGATCGACGTGACCGGCGAGCCGACCGCGGAGCTGGTGCTGCTCGACCTGCAGGACAACCCTGACAGCTTCTTCCTGTTCCTCGACCGCTTCGGGCGCATCGTCTGGTACCACCGCAACCGGCCGGTCGTGGCCGACCCGCCGACGCCGATACGGGCGGTGCGCCAGAAGCCCAACCACAACCTCGTCTACTGGGAGGGCGGCCCCACCGGCCGCTTCGTGAACTGCTGCCTGCGCGAGATCGACCCGCTGGGACGGGTGGTGACGCGCCTGATCAACAACGACATCGACAAGTGGGCGCATCACGACCTCCTGATCCTGCCGGACCGAGCAGGTGCTCTACATCGCCCACGAGATCATCACCATCGACGACACCGAGCACGGCGGCGAGGCGGAGACCCGCGTCCTGGTCGACTCGCTGCGCGGCTGGGACCAGGTCACGCACACCACCGAGGAGTTGTGGGACGCGCGCGACCACCTGTCGCTGGCCCATCGCGTGCGCTGGGCCGGCGACCCGAAGAACTGGCTGAACGTCAACTCGCTGGCCCTGGGCGTGCGCGGCAACGTGATCCTGTCGCTCGCCAACCGCAACGAGATCATCTCGATCGCGCCGGACTTCCGGAGCATCGAGTGGCGGCTCGGCGGGCCGGAGTCGAGCTACGAGTTCGCCGACCCGACCGACCGGTTCTACTTCCAGCACACGGTCAGCGAGCTCCCGAACGGCAACATCCTCCTGTTCGACAACGGCCGCGACCGGCCAGAGGAGGAGGGAGGCCATTATTCCCGCGCCCTGGAACTGGCGCTCAACACCTACGACCTGATTGCGGTGAAGGTATGGGAGTACCGCCACACCCCGGATCTGTACTCGTTGTCGCGGTCGAGCGCCTATCGCCTGCCGTCCGGCAACACGCTGATCAACTTCGAGACCAACGACTCAGAGCCCCAGCGCGTGATCGTCGAGGCGGACGCCGAAGGCGCCGTGGTGTGGCAGGCCGACCTGCGCAGCCCGACGATCCGCAACAGCTACCGCGCCTATCCCGCCGACACTATCATGGGCGAACGACGCGCGGAGGAGCCGTAATGCACGAATTGACCGCCGCCCTGATCGGGCTCCGCCACCCGCACTCGGCGGCCACATCCGCACGCTGGACTGCCTGCCCGAGGTCGCCCGCATCGTGGTCTGGGACGAGGATGCCTCGGCGTCGACGAGCTGCGCGGCGAGGTGCGCGACACGCCGGTCGAGCAGGCCGGCAGCCTCCGGAGCTCCTGGCCCGCCGCGACCTGGATTTCGTGGTCGCCGCCGAGCGCAATGACCGCAACCCCGGATCTGTTCGCGGCCATCCTGGAGGCCGGCCACCACCTGCTGGCGGAAAAGCCGCTGGGGCGCTCCGCCGCCGACGCGCGGCGCGTGGTGGCCGCCGCCGAGCAGGCGGACCGGCGGCTCTCCGTGTTCTACACCAACCGCTTCAATCCGCTGGTCGCCGAGGCGCGCCGGCTGGTGCGCGACGGCGCGCTGGGCACGCTGTTCTCGGTGGAGATCCGGATGCTCACCACGCAGGTCCGCTTCCGCGGACCCGACCACTGGCTGTTCGACCGCGGCAAGGCCGGCGGGGGGATGCTCTCCTGGCTGGGCTGCCACTCGCTGGATCTCATGCAGTTCCTCACCGGCGATCCGATCGTGTCGGTGGCCGCGGAGGTCGCCACCCGCGGCGACGACGGCTTCGACGTCGAGGACACCGCCACGCTGTCGATGCGCCTGCGCTCCGGCGCGCTGGCGTCGCTGCACGCCGCGTACGTGCTGGCGATCAGCGGCGGCGGCTTCTACAACGCCGGCGGCTACGACCAGCACGTCGGCGTCAACGGCCGCGAGGGGCGGTTGTGGTGGGACGACCACGGCCCGCCCGAGCTGCACCTGGAGAGCCGCGTGCCGGCGTTCGCGGCCGCGCCGCAGCGCACCTTCACCTTCACGCCCGCCGAGTCGCGCGCCTACGCGGGCGGCTACGGCGAGCGGTTCGTGCGGGACTTCATCGCCGCCACCCGCGGCGAGGGTCCGGTGCCGTGCCCGGGCGAGGCGGCGGTGCGGGTGGGGCTGATCGTCGACGCGGCCTACGAGTCGGCGCGCACCGGCCGGCGGGTGGAGGTGCCGGAGGCCTAGCTGAGGCGTCGGATGCGCTCCACGCGGCCCTCGCGGGCGGCGGCGAGCATCCGCTCCGGGGCCGCCAGGCGCCCGAGGAGCGACGGCTTCTCCTGCACGAAGGTCTCCGCGTAGCGGGTCCGCATCACGCGGCCGAGGTGGGAGAGTTCCATCTCGATGCGCCGCCGGGCGCGCTCCGGGTTGTGTTCTTGCGTGCGGTAGCACGCCTCGGCCTGGACGCGCAGCTCCACGATTTCCGCGGGCAGCTCCACGCCGCAGGTGATCTGGCTGGTGTCGAACATGATGCCGGAGAAGTAGGTGACCGCGACGCAGGTGCGGACGCCCGGCGCGCGGGGTGGCGGCGCTGGTCGCGCGCCTCCAGCGTGGCGCTGCCGACCTCCGTGTGATCGGTGCGGTGCGCCATGCGAAAGCCGGAGTCGCCGTACGGGTTCTCGGTGATCAGGATGTCGGCGGCGACCTCGACGATCAGCGCCTGGATCGCGTCGATGGCTTGCGGCTGCTCCTGGCGGGTGAACGGCTTGTCGTCGAAACCGAGCACCCGCACGTCGTCGATCCCGAACAGCGCCGCCGCCTGCCGCATCTCCTGTTCCTTGCGGCCGGTGTAGGCCTCCACCGGCTCGCCGACGATGCCGGCGTCGCGGTCGGCCTCGGGCTTGGCCATCTCGTCCAGGAAGCGCTCGCGGTGGGTGGCGCCGCCGTGCGTGACGCTGCACACGGTGACGCGATCGCCCGCGCGGGCATGCAGGCAGAGGGTGCCCGACACCCAGGTCCAATCGTGCGGGTGCGCCATGACGGCGAGCAGACTCAGCGGTTCGTTCACGGCGTCATGCTACACGAGTTGGAACCCACGCTCCTCGAAGTGGGGATCGAAGGCGAACGCCGACGAGATGCCTCGCTGGCGCATCACGGCGAAGCTGGCGCAATCGACCAGACTCAACCGCCGTCGGTTGGCGTCGAGGAAGCCTCTGGGAGTTGATCAGTCCGGTCCAGGAGCTCCGCGCCAGAGCATGAGCATCGTCCTCCGCATCGAGCGCCGCGTACAGCGCGGAAGTGTCGACGAAGACGCTCATCGCTCATCCTGACCGCGGTGTGCATATGCCTCCGCCAGCATATGCCTCCGCCAGATAGCGGTCGTGCTCACGGGCGACGTCGAAGCGTCCCGAGCGGAATCGTCCCAAAGCCGCGAGCGCACGGCGCGCTCGGTCCGTCTGTGAACCCGATTCCGCGGCGTCCAGGATGGTGTCCACCCCGTTCCGCACCAGCTCGGCGATCGACACGTCACGATCTGCCGCCAGCCGCTTCAATCGGCGAAGCTGCTCCTCCGTGAGCTGTACCTGTGTCCTGATCACAGCAGACATGTTGTCATGATCTCGTCTGCATGCCTACATGTCTGCGACGAACAGCAATCGCGGTGCGGAGTCGATCGAGTTCGCCTGCGCCCGCCACATCCGCCACGCCGGCGCGCTCGGCTGCCTCTACCAGCCGGCGCATGTGCGTGATGTCCTCGGCGTACTGGGCAAGCCGCCGCTCGTGGCCGGCGCGGGTCTTGGTGCAGACCAGCGTGAACGGCCTCCCCTTGCGTTCGGTCTCGTGCAGCAGGTCGAGCCCGTGGCTGTTGATGATCTGGTGGAGGTGCCGGCGCAGCTCCTTCCGAAGCGGGAGCCTCAGCACCCTTGCATCCGGGTCGGCGTAGAACCGTTGCAGCCGGCGACACTGGGGGCAGCGGCACGAGATCGTGGCCTCCAGCGCCCAGTCGCTCGGCGCCGCGGGCGGCTGCCCACTGCGGGCCAGCAGGTAGCCGGCGGCATGTCGCCACAGCGTCACGAACCCCGGAGCCGTCGCGCTCTCCATGAGTCCCGATAGCTCCGCCAGCGCCGTCGGCAGCGTCCGATCCGGCGACACGGCTGCAGGGTGCTCGATCAGCAGTTCCGCGGCCGCGTGCGCCTCCTGGTCAAGGTCGAAGTGCCAGGCGAGCGCCAACAGGTTACGGACCGCCGCGGCGTCGAGAGGTTGCAGTGGGTTGCAGCGCTCCGGATCCCGCTCGGCTTGGGTGCGCAGTTCCAGGGCGCCGGAGATGCTCCGCAGCAGGAGCTGCGTGACGGCGCACAGCGCACCGTGCCACGGGGCTTCCTGATCTCCGGCTGGAACCCGGCTGAGACGCCAAACGAGATCGACCACGCCGTCAGTGCAGCGCAACAGATTCGCGTCGACGAACTCCGGCAGCCAGTCGCGGAACGCGGCCGGCGCGATCGCAGCCGCCAACTCCTCGTTGATCCCGCCGGAGTACGTCGACGTGGCAACCTCGCTCAGGAAGCGGAGCGTGACGGCTCGGTCACCCAGCCGGCAGAGCAGCCGGAGCGCCGCGCGGCAGCTCTGCTCGATCTCGGTGCGGCGCCCAGGCGGCGGCTCTGGCCAGGCGTCGATGAGCTGCGCGACAAGCTCGCACAGGCGGCCGTGCTCGGCTTCCGATCGGTCGCACCGTTCCAACTCCTCAGCGACATAGGCCACCATCGAGCCGGTACCGCCGGAGGCCAGGGTGGCAAGGGCCCGTTCCCGCGGCCACACCACCAGCGCCGCCGAGCGATACACACGCTCGATCTCCACGCCCTCGTTGCCCGTCGCCTCGTTCACCCATTGATCATCCGGCTCGGCGTCATCCAGAGCGCCGGCGGGCAGCAGCTCGCCCGCCCGCAGCGGCAGCTTGCCGTAGTCCGGCCGGGCGTCGTCCGGCGCTACCCAGCCGTCCAGCCAGTGCTCGGAATCGATCACCTCACCAGCCTCCAGGTCGCTGTCGTCAGGTTCGACCCCGTACGGCAGGTGTTGCGGGTACTCCGCGGCGCAGGCTTCCTCAATATGGAGAATCGCCGCGTACAGGGCGCAGTCCGCACTCCGCACCGCTGCCGCCAGGGCGCGGGCGACGGCCGCGTCGGTGTTCTTCAGGGACGCGAACGAGAGTCCCGCTTCGCTGTAGTCGTACTCGAGCAGCCAGACGAGCTTTTCGGCGCCGTGCGTGGTGCGGTCCCACTGCTGCAGGACGGTGGCGATGCGCCCGCCACCGCGTCATAGTCGGGCGCCCGCTCCAGCGCACCGCCGGCGCCGCCGCGCAGCACGAGTTGGTACACGAGGACGATGCGGTGGCCGGTGACGACCGGCCGGGTCTCGTGGACGCAGTCCGCGTAGAAGGCCGCGAAGGCAAGCTCCGAGGGATCCTCGGTGCGCAGGTCGATCACCCCTTCACGATCGCGGTGGCGAATCACCAGTTCACCCCCGGTGCCGGCGACCGGCAGCGAGATGACCAGCGTGGCGACCATCCCGTTTGCCTTCTCGCTGTCGCGATGGGCGCCGAAGAACCCTCCCGGCTCGTAGACCAGCAGCTTGTAGAGGCGCGCCTCGGTGCGCTCGCGCGGGCAGCCGAGCCCTTCCGCGGCGCGGCCGACGATCTGCGCCAGCGTGTCGCTCCAAGCCCCGCCGCCAACGTCCACGTTGGCAGCGTCGATCTGCCAGCAGTCGCGCACCGAGCGGTCCACCACGGTCTCCGGCCCCTTGCCGTACGGCGCCCGTTCCGCCGCCGCGATCAGCGCCTGGGCCTGCGCGGCGGGCACGGGAAAGGGGATCAGCCCGGCGCCCGCAACCTGCAGACGCGGCAACGGTGCGAACAGCCGGCCGTGGGTGCAGTAGTCTCCCGGGCGGTCCACCAACCGCAGCAACTCTTCGAGCGCTGACGGGCTGGGGTGGTACTCGATTCCGACGTCCGGCATCGTTCGTTGCGCTTGGGCCGGGATAAGCATAACTCACGGAGATTTCTCCCGGCTTGCACGATGCGGCCGTATTGCCGAGCATGTCGCATACCTGCGCGGCGCCCTGCGTGCGCGCACCCACCGATACGGAGGCAGTCAAGTGCGACGAGTATTCTGTGTGGCGGCGATCGGCCTGTTGTGTGCCGGCGCCGTCATGGCCGAGATCAAGCCGGCCGTCGTCTACGACGTCGGCAGCAAGTTCGACAAGTCGTTCAACGAGGGCGTCTACAACGGCGCCGAGCGGTTCAAGGAGGAGACCGGCGTCGCCTACGCCGAGTTCCAGATCGCCAACGAGGCGCAGCGCGAGCAGGCGTTCCGGAACTTCGCGCGCCGCGGCTACAGCCCGATCATCGCCGTCGGCTTCAGCCAGGCGCCGGCCGTGGAAGCGGTGGCCGCCGAATACCCGGACACCAGCTTCGCCATCATCGACATGGTCGTGGAGCTGCCCAATGTCCAGTCCATCGTGTTCAAGGAGCACGAAGCCTCGTTTCTGGTGGGCATGATCGCCGCCATGGCGTCCGAGACCGGCACCGTCGGCTTCGTGGGCGGCATGGACATCCCGCTGATCCGCCGGTTCGCCTGCGGCTACGTGCACGGGGTGAAGTACGTGAATCCGGACGCGGAGATCTACCAGAACATGGCCGGCACCACGCCGGCGGCGTGGTCCGATCCGGTGAAGGGCTCGGAGCTTGCCATAGTCGCAGTTCGACCGCGGCGCGGACGTGGTGTTCGCCGCGGCCGGCGCCACCGGGCTGGGCGTGCTGCAGGCCGCCGCGGACGGCGGCAAGCTGTCGATCGGCGTGGACTCCAACCAGAACCACCTGCACCCGGGGTCGGTGCTGACCTCCATGCTCAAGCGCGTCGACGTCGCGGCCTACGACGTCTTCAAGACCGCGATGGACGGCACCTGGGAGCCCGGCTTCAGGAACCTGGGGCTGGCCGAGGACGGCGTCGGCTGGGCGCTGGACGAGCACAACCAGGCACTGATCAGCGACGAGATGGCCGAGCGGGTGGAGGCCGCGCGCGCCGCCATCGTCGCCGGAGAGATGGAGATTCACGACTACATGGCGACCAACTCCTGCCCCTAGCGCCCCAAGACCGCCCGCCAGCAGTCACGCTGCGCGGGATCAACAAGCGGTTCGGCACCGTGCAGGCCAACCGCGACGTGTCGCTGGAGGTGGCGGCCGGGGCGATCCACGGCATCGTCGGCGAGAACGGTGCCGGCAAGTCGACCCTGATGAGCATCCTCTACGGGTTCTACCGGGCCGACTCCGGCACCGTCGAAGTGGAGGGACGGCCGGTCGCCATCGCCAGCCCGCGCGACGCGATCGCCGCCGGCATCGGCATGGTCCACCAGCACTTCATGCTGGTGGAGCCGCTGACGGTGCTTGAGAACGTCCTGCTGGGCGCCGAGGGCGCGGCGCGGCTGCAACGCGGACTGCGCCGCGCGCGCGACACGCTGAATCACCTGGCGCGGGACTACGGGCTGGAGGTGGATGTCGATGCCCCGGTCGGCGACCTGCCGGTCGGCATCCAGCAGCGCGTCGAGATCCTCAAGGCGCTGTACCGCGGCGCCGAGACCCTGATCCTGGACGAACCGACCGGGGTGCTGACGCCCCAGGAGGCCGACGAGCTGTTCCGGATCCTGGCCGCGCTGAAGCAACAGGGCCGGACCATGATCCTGATTACCCACAAGCTGCGCGAGATCATGGCCGTCACCGACCGCGTGACGGTGATGCGCCGCGGCGAGGTGATCGCCCACGTCGATACCGCCGCCACCTCGCAGGAACACCTGGCTGAGCTGATGGTGGGGCGCACGGTGCTGTTGCGCGTGGAAAAGAGCCCCGCCACGCCAGGCGAGCTGATGCTCCAGGGCGACCACCTGGACTACACCGACGCCGCCGGCGTGCGCCGTGTGCGGGACGTGAGTCTGAGCGTGCGCCGCGGCGAGATCGTCGGCATCGCCGGGGTGGCGGGCAACGGCCAGTCGGAGCTCATGGCGCTGCTGGCCGGGATCGAGCAACCGGATGCCGGCACGGTGACGGTCAACGGCCGGCCGGTGTGCGATGCCCGTGACGCGGCCGACGCGCGCCGGATGCGCCACGCCGGCCTGGGCCACGTGCCGGAGGACCGGCAGCGCATGGGGCTGGTCGGCAGCTTCGCGGCCAACGAGTCCTCGATCCTGGGCTACCACGACGACCGCGCCTACAACGGCGCCATCCTCATGCACCGGCGAGACATCATCGCCTCCTCCCGGCGCCAGATGAACGAGTTCGACGTGCGCCCGCCCGATCCGCTGCTGCGCAGCTCCGCATTCTCCGGCGGCAACCAGCAGAAGATCATCGTTGCCCGCGAGCTCGACCGCGATCCGGACGTGCTGCTCATCGGCCAGCCCACCCGCGGGCTCGACATCGGCGCGATCGAGTTCATCCACCGGCGCCTGATCCTGTTGCGCGACCGGGGCATGGCGATCCTGCTGGTGTCGGTGGAGCTGGACGAGATCATCGCGTTGAGCGACCGGGTGCTGGTGATGTTCGACGGCGCCGTCGCCGGCGAGGTGGCTGGCGCGGACGCGACGGAGCAGACCATCGGTTCGTTGATGGCCGGGGTCGGCGCGGCGGCTTGACGGTGGCTCTGTCTAAGGTGGCTCTGTCTAAGGTGGTTGCCTGACGTGGCTGCCGCGGTGCCGGAAGGCGGCCTGCCGCGCTGGGCCGCCAACGGCGTGCTGCCGCTGGTGAACCTGCTGGCCGCCTTCGTGGTGGCCGGCATCGTCATCCTGATCATCGGCGAGAGCCCGGTCCAGGCGCTGCTGGTCCTGATCCGTGGCGCGTTCGGGTTCCCCGAGGCGTGGGGCTACACCCTCTACTACGCCACCAACTTCATCTTCACCGCCCTGGCCGTGTCCGTGGCCCTCCACTGCGGGCTGTTCAACATCGGCGGCGAGGGCCAGGGCTACCTCGGCGGCCTGGGCGTGGGGCTGGTGTGCCTGTTCCTGGACGGGCTGCCGCTGGTGCTGCTGCTGCCGCTGGCGGTCGCAGCCGGCGGTCTGTTCGGTGCGCTGTGGGCCTGGGTTCCGGGCTATCTGCAGGCCCGGCGCGGCTCGCACATCGTCATCACCACCATCATGTTCAACTTCCTGGCCGCCACGCTGATGGTGTACCTGCTGGTGAACGTGCTGATCGACCCCGGGCAGATGTCCCCGCAGAGCCGCACCTTCGCCGAGCATGTCCGGCTGCCGGCGATGCACGAAGTGCTCGGCTGGCTCGGCATCGCCTTCCCGCGCACGCCGCTCAACATGGCGTTTCCGTGGGCGCTGGTGTGCGGGGTTCTGGTGTGGATCTTCATCTGGCACACGCGCTGGGGCTACGAGCTGCGGACGGTCGGGGCCAATTCCACCGCCGCGGTCTACGCCGGCATCTCGCCGTCGCGCAACACCGTCCGGGCCATGGCGATCTCCGGCGCGCTGGCGGGGATGATGGGGCTGAACGAGGTGATGGGGGTCAACCATCGGCTGCTGCTCAACTTCACCGCCGGCTACGGGTTCGTGGGCATCGCGGTCTCCCTGATGGGCCGCAACCACCCGCTCGGGATCGTCGTTGCCAGCCTGCTGTTCGGGGCGCTGTACCAGGGCGGCACCGAGCTGGCGTTCGAGATGCCGAAGGTGAGCCGTGAGCTGGTGGTGGTGATCCAGGGCCTGGTGATCCTGTTCGTGGGCGCGCTGGAGTATCTGTTCCGGCCCGTGCTGCTGCCCTGGCTGCGTCGCCGCCGGCGCCTCGCGGCGGAGTAGGGCGGTGGACGGGTTCGGGTTCTTCATCCTGCTGCTGGACGCCACCCTGCGGGTGTCGGTGCCGCTGGTACTGGCGTCGCTGGCGGGGCTGTTCTCGGAGCGGTCGGGGATCGTCGACATCGGCCTGGAAGGCAAGATGCTCGGCGGCGCGTTCGCCGCCGCCCTCCGGGTCGTACGTGTGCGCGGAGTTGCTCTCGGCCGCCGGACTGACCGCGCTCCTGCCGGCGGCGGCATGGGTGGGTCTGGCCGCCGGCATCGCCTGCTCGATGCTGCTGGCGCTGTTGCACGGGGTGGCGTGCATCCGCTTCCACGGCAACCAGATCGTCTCCGGCGTGGCGATCAACATCCTCGTGTCGGGCCTCACCGTGCTGCTGGCGATCGCCTGGTTCGGACAAGGGGGGGGCACGCCGCAGCTCCCGCCCGAGGGGCGGTTCCGGCCGCTGGCATGGCCGGGGGCCGAAGCGGCGCAGGAGGTGCCGATCATCGGCCACCTGTACGGCGAGCTGCTGTCCGGCCACAACGTCCTGGTCTACGCGGCGTTCCTGACCGTGCCGGCGGCGTTCTGGGTGATCTACCGGACCCGCTTCGGGCTCCGGTTGCGCGCCGTGGGCGAAAACCCGGAAGCGGTGGACACCGCGGGCATCTCGGTTGCCGCGATCCGGTATCGCGCCGTGCTGTTGTGCGGGGCGCTGTGCGGCGCCGCCGGCGCCTATCTGGCCACCGCACAGTCCGCGGCGTTCATCCGCGACATGACCGCGGGCAAGGGGTTCATCGCGCTGGCGGCGCTGATCTTCGGCAAGTGGCGTCCGATCCGCACGCTGGTGGCCTGCCTGCTGTTCGGGTTCCTCGAAGCCCTGGCCGCCCGGCTGCAGGGCGCCTTCGACCTGCAGGGCACCGCCGGTGCGGTGCGCGCGCTGGTGGGGGCGGCGCCGTTCGTGATCGAGGCGTTGCCCTACGCCCTGGTCGTGCTCCTGCTGGCCGGCTTCGTGGGCCGCGCCATCGCGCCGAAGGCGAGCGGCATCCCGTACCTGAAGGCCGGATAGTAGTGGGTTGGGGTGGGTGGGGGGTTGGGTGTGGTGGTGTGGTGTTGGGTTGGTTGTTGTGTTGGGGGTTGGGGGGGGGTGGTTGTTTGTGGGTTGGTTGTGTTGGGGGGTTTTTGGGGGGTTGGGGTGGTGTGTGGGGGGGGGTTGTGTTGGGGGGTGGGTGGGGTGGTGGGGGTGGTTGGTGGGTGGGTTTGGGGGTTGGTTTTGTTTGTTTGTTGTTGTTGGTTGTGTGGTTTTTGTGGTGGGGTGGGTGTTGTTGTTTTGGTGTTTTTTGTTTTTTTTTTTGTTTTGTTTGTGGTGGTGGGTTGGGGGTTGGGTGGTGGTTTGGGGGGGGTGGTTGGGTGTGTGGTTGGGGTTGGTTTGTGGTGGTGTTGGGTGGTTGTGCGTCGCGTCCTGGGCGCGTCGAGTTCATAGTGTCTCTGGTTGGCGTGAACACGTGAAATGCAGACAGCGAGGATCGCTCTCCCCTTCCCACTTGTCCGACCGATCGATCGATCAATCCTGTAGGTCCTGCCGTTTGTTCGCCACCGGTCGTGCGACGTACGGCGATCGATTCTCTGAATGCAGGAGCTGTGTATGTGACGAAACCGGCTGCATTGAAGCGGCAAGCAAGGTACCATCTCAGCTCTTCCCCGCCTGTCTGTGGCCGGAGGTGTATGCTGTCAAGCCATCATCACAGCGCCATGTTCCGAAGATGCACGCGGACATACAGTTCCGGCGCCGTGAGAATGTGAGGAGGAGTGCAGCCCGGACAGCCCTGTTCCTTGGATCTGGCAATGACGTCGAAAGCGCCAGTCGACGGCTTACCTCGAATTCAACCGCTGATCTGCCACAAATTGACTCATATGATCTTGAGATGTTACGTGACGTCACCTCACAGCTGAACAGCAGATTTCAGGCACGATGTCTCGTCACGTCGCGATGACTGCGTCGCGCGCAACACAGCTCCGGGCGCGGTAGCTGTGAGTCTGGTAAAAGCTCATCTCGAGTCATCTTGCGAACGACGGCCAGACACGGTCGCGAAAGCGCGTCGCGTCTCGCGTCATGAGCTTGATGGTCGCATCGTGGAAATTCGTCTTCAGTGGCTGCAGATTCGACTCGACACACCCACTGCAACAGATGCTCGCTGTACTCTATCACGAACGAGCGGTCCACATCGACATCAATCGGACGGGTGCAAGTATGATACCCCGAGATGCTGTTGAAAGCCCACCGATCATCTGATCGGTCTCCTCCTCACTCAGGGTCGCCTTGACGTCAGCGATGAATGTTGTGCCTCCGCTACGCTGAAGTCCTCGTGACGGTGCTGATAATCAACTCTCCTCTCCGTGGCGACCGTTGACGTTACGACTCTGCGCCGGCGATGTCCACACGTACGTCTCCCGCTGCGAATAGAATAGTCATCGGGCTGACTCTCCACAGGTCTGGCCTGATCCGTGTGTGTGGGCCTGACATCAACGCCTCATCGGACGGTTCGCCGATGAAGAGGCAGCGTGCGCACTCGACCCACGGTGAACCGTGGAACGGTCCACGGCGAGCGTCTCCTTATTGCGCACAAGCGAAGTCCATGAAGCTATTAGCTACATACGCATCCGCCTCGTCAACCGCCCTTCCGTTCAGGTCGAGCACGCCAGCAGCCTGTGTTCTTGAGGACGGCAATGGTCATTGCTGTTCCAATCCTGCTTCCGGAAAGCCGAGCCTGTCGAAGGCCTCTGCGATCAATGCTGCGGCTGTTTGCATGATCCTCACCAATGCGTGGTGCCGTCAGCAGGGTGCAATCGTAGTCGCTGGCGCATGCGGCGCCAGCCTCCGCATCGCCGCATCAAGCATCTACACACCGAAGGCATCTGGCTGATCCTCTTGGTTCCTGCTGCGCGAGCACTATTTGAGCGCATACCGACGCCACACATACTTCGGCCATCATGAAGAGAGGACTGACGGTCGTGTGCGCCGGTTGTGTTGCTGTCGAGCGGAGTGTCGCGGCGACGAACAGCGATGGCGGACTTCGCGAAGCTCGATGCGATCTCCCAGCACATGGTCGCGCAGGCAATGCTGGCGGCCTACTTCATCGATGCCGCGTGCCAGGCGGGCCTGGACGCGGACCAGATCAACGCGGTCGCTCGCCGATATCGGCGACAACATCGTGATCTCCGAGTTCATGATCAGCGACGAACGGCAGATCGCGTTCACGAAACATCCTCGGGCACGGGAGTCCGCGTTCCGACCGACCCCGACGCGGGCACGCAGGCGGCGCCGTTTGCGGTGCTCCTGAAGGGCATGGAAACGGTGGTGATCCGGGACGCCCAGCCGCGCCAGCTCGACCAGGCGATCTTCAAGTACGTCGGCGTCGCGGGCATCGACCAGCCGCGGATCGTGCAGGTCGGCGTATCCGCCGCCGAGCTGGGGAGCGACTGAGCAGCACGCCGGCCCAGGCTGCCGCCCCCTCCACGTGCGCTACACCATCGATCCGCCGCTGCCCGGGTCCGTCACGTCGACGTGATCCCGGTCGATCACGACGGCTCCCGCGCGTTCTACGTGCGCGACCCGCTGGAGTTCGCCCCGCAGCCGTTGATGCTCGGCGCCGCGGGGCTGCTCGTTCTGTCCTGCCTCGACGGCAATCACTCCATGGGTCAGGTTCGCCAGGTGCTCCGGGAGCGGCTCCCCGGCGCCGACATCGCGACGTCGGAGATCCAGGGGCTGCTGCGGACGCTCAGCGAGGGGTGCTTCCTGCACGACCGGGTGGCGGCCGAGCGGATCGCCCGCGTGTCCGGAGAGTTCGCCCGCGCCACGGTGCGGCCGGCCTGGCACGCCGGCAGGTCGTATCCGGACGATGCGGGCGAGCTGGCCGCGATGTTCGACCGCTTCTTCGTCGAGGCCCAGACGGTGGTCCCCAAGGCGATGGAGCCCGCGGCCGAGCCGGCGTCGGGCGCGGCCGTTCCGGCTGCGCGCGCGGACGCGCCAAGCCTGGCGGCCGTGATGTGCCCGCACATCGACCTGCGGGCGGGCGGTGCGATCTACCCGCCGGCCTTCGCGGCGCTGGCCGCGGCGGCGCGTGATCCTGAGCCCATCGAGCTCTACGTCATCCTGGGCGTCGCCCATCACGCCGGCGTGGAGCCGGGTGCCGGCTTCGCGATCGCCACCGACAAGGACTACGCGACGCCGTTCGGGCAGGCGCCCACCGGCCGCGGGGTGATCGAGGACTGGTCGCGCCGCGCCGGCCGCGACGTCACCGACCGGCAGGGTCTGCACCGGACCGAGCACTCGGTGGAGTTCCCGCTACTGTTCCTGCACTACACCGAGGCGCGCGCCGGGCTGCCGCCCTACGAGGTGGTACCGGTGCTGCTCGGCAGCGTCGACCCGTACCTGCGCGACGGCTCCGACCCGCTGCAGGCGCCGGAGGTCGCGGGCGAGCTGCGGGCGCTGCGCGAGGCGATCGCCGCCAGCGGCAAGCGGGCGCTCTACGTCCTCAGCGTGGACCTGGCCCACATCGGGCCCAAGTTCGGCGATCCCGACCCGATCGACGACGGCGGGGCCATGGGATGCGAGCAGGCAGACGCGCCCTGCTGGACTACGCGCAGCGGTTCGACTCCGACGGGTTCACCAGAGCCCTCCACGCCGACGGCAACAGCCGCAAGGTCGACGCCATCTCCGGCCTGTACTCCCTGTATCCGTTGCTGGCAGGCGGCGAACGGAACGGGTCCCTGCTCGCCTACGGCCAGAACCGGCAGCCGGACACCGGCTCGCTGGTCAGCTACGCCAGCATGGCCTTCGACCAGACGCCCGCCGCCTGACCTAGCCGCCGACGTTGGCGTGCGGGTCCAGCGCGTCGCGCAGGCCGTCGCCCACGTAGTTGACGCTCAACACCGTCAGCGAGATCGCCACCCCCGGCCAGATCACGCGCGCCGGCGTGAGGGTCAGGAACGGCACGCCGTCGTAGAGCAGCCGGCCCCAGGTCGGAAAGTCGGACGGAAACCCCAGGCCCAGAAAGCTCAACGCGCTTTCCGTGATGATCGCCTGCGCAACTCCGAGCGTGGCCGCCACCACGATGGGGCTCAACGCGTTCGGGAAGACGTGCAGCACGATGATGCGGATCGCCCGCGCGCCGATGCTCCGCGCGGCCACCACGTACTCGCGCTGTTTGATGGCGAGCACCTGACCCCGGACGATGCGCGCGGTCTGCATCCAGCTCGTGATGCCGATGACGACCACGATCAGGATGAAGATCCCGACTTCCAGGCCGAGGGCGGACTGCAGCGGGTCGCGAAACAACATGATGCTGACGAGCAGCAACGGCAGCACCGGCAGCGCCAGGAACAGGTCGGTGAACCGCATCAGCGGGCCGTCGAGCCGGTGGAAGAAACCCGCCGCGACCCCCACCAGCGTCCCGAACGTCAGCGACAGCACCATCGCGGCCGTGCCGACGGCCAGGGAGATGCGCCCGCCGGCCAGCATCCGGGCCAACGTGTCGCGGCCCAGGTTGTCGGTGCCCAGCGGATGCTCCAGAGACATGCCCTGGTTCTTGGCCGGGTAGTCCAGGTACTGGGGATCGACGTCGTGGACGGCTGATCCGAACAGCACCGCCAGCGCGATCAGCGACAACACCGCGGCGCCCGCGATCGTGCCGGAGTGGCGCCGCAGCCGGCGCCGCACGCCGTGTGCGGGCCTACGACCGGTCCGGACGCCGACCTCTTCGGTCGCGGGCGCTTCGTTCATGCGCACCGCCCGGATCCGGCATCCCGCGCGGAATGGGAGCAACCGGTTTGCATGCCGCGACCGCGACCGCGAAGATGGACCCTGCGCACCTGCACCGCATGTTGGAGCTTGGCGGCGTACCCGCCGCGACGCTGGCCGAACGGTACGGCACCCCGCTGTACGTCTACGAGGAGGAGCGCATCCGCTCCGCGTTCCAAACGCTGACGCGAGCGTTCGCCGTGGACGACCTGCGCATCCACTACCCGTGAAGGCCAACTCCAACCCCTGGATCCTGCGCATCCTGCGGCGTGCCGGCGCCTGGGCCGACGTGGTCTCGCCGGGGGAGATCCTCCTGGCGCGCGCCGCCGGCTTCCCGCCGGATCGCCTCCTGTACAACGGCAACTCCGCTTCCGATGACGACCTGCGCGCCGCGCTCGACCAGGGGGTGCGCATCAACGTCGAGTCGTTGTCGCAGCTTCGCCGCCTGGCCGCCCGGGCGCCGGGCACCGCCGTCAGCATCCGCTTCAACATCCACGTCGGCGGCGGCCATCACTCGCACGTCATCACCGGCGGCCCGGAGAGCAAGTTCGGGATCGACTGGGAGCAGGCAGACGAGGCGCGCACCATGGCCGCTGCCGGCAGGCTGCGGGTGGCCGGCGTGCACTGCCACATCGGTTCCGGCGTGCTGCAGGCGGAACGGTTCGTGCAGGCGGTGTCCAATCTGCTCACCGTGGCGCGGCGGTTTCCCGGACTGGAGCAGGTAAACTTCGGCGGCGGGATCGGCATCCCCTACCGGCTGGAGGAGCAGGAGCTGGCCGTCGACCGGCTGGGAGCCCTGCTGACCGCAGAGTACGAGCGGTTCTGCGGGGAATGCGGCGCGCGCCCCGCGCTCTGCCCTGGAGCCGGGGCGCTTCCTGGTGGCCCGCGCCGGCACCCTGCTGTGCCGCGTCACGGCGGTGAACCAAGCGCGGAAGTACTTGTTCGCCGGCACGACACCGGCTTCAACCATCTGATCCGTCCGGCGATGTACGGGTCCTACCATCGCATCGAAGCCGCCGAACCGCGTCCGGGTGAGGAGCAGCCCACGGTGGTGACCGGCAACATCTGCGAGTCCGGCGACGTCTTCACCCGCGGCGAGCACGGCATCGAACCGCGGCTCCTGCCGCCCCTCCGCGAGGGCGACCTGATCGCGATCCGCGACACCGGCGCGTACGGCTTCTCCATGGCGTCTCGCTACAACTCCTTCCCGCTCCCGGCCGAGGTACTGGTATGCGACGGCGCCGCGACCCTGATCCGCCGGCGCGACAGCCTCCGGCAGCTCCTGACCAACGTCCCGGCCCTGCCGGCCGAGGGGCTCAGTCATAGCGGATGCGGGGATCCAGGACGCCGTACAGCAGGTCCGCGACCAGATTGAACGTCACGATCAGCACCGCGAAGATGAAGGTCACGGTCTGCACCGTCGGGATGTCCGCCCCCTCGATCGCCCCGATCAGCAGCGCGCCGATGCCGTTGATGCGGAAGATCTGCTCGGTGATGACCGCCCCCGCGAAGGTCGACGGGATGCCCAGCGCGATCACGGTGACCACCGGGATCATGCTGTTGCGCAGCACGTGAATGAGGACCACGACCCGTTCGGTGAGCCCCTTGGCGCGCGCGGTGCGCACGTACTCCTGGTGGATGGTGTCCAGCACCGCCGAGCGCGTGAAGCGGCTGATCTGCGCGGCGTTGAAGAGGGCCAGCACCATGACCGGCATGATCATCTGCTTCACTGGTAGACCAGGCTGTCGAGGTCGGTCACCCGATGGGTGGTGTCGTAGATCGACGGCAGCCAGCCGAGCTTGGCGCTGAAGATCACGATCAGCACGGTCCCGGTGAAAAAGGTCGGCACCGAGAAGCCGACCATCGTCACGACGGTGCCCAGCCGGTCGAAGATCGAATGCTGCCGGTAGGCAGACAGCACTCCGACCGGCACCGCGATCAGGATGGCGACCAGATAGGAGATGCCCACCACCGTCAGCGTCTGCGGCAGCCGCTGTGCGATCAGGTCCACCACCGGCGACCGGGTCGCCCAGGAGCGCACCCGCAGGCGCGCGCCGGAGTCGCCGATCTCGGCGCCGAGCACCGCCTCCAGCAGGTTGAGCGGCTCGTTCACCAGGAACTGCTGGAGCTCACCGCAGGTAGCGGACCGGGCAGGAGAGGATCTCGCTGAATCAGGCGGTGCTGCGCCTTCTTCGCCGCGGTGCCGGTTCATCGGTAGCTGGACGCGCCGGCGAGCGGATGACATGGATCGGTGTTGACACCATGATGCCGTTCGAGCGGGAACGATGCCGATACGAACGACAGTCAATATTGATGACAGCCTGCATCTGATGGTGCGATCACTCGCTCATCAGAACCGGCTTTCCATGAGCGACACGATCGACCTTCTGCTGCGGCGCGGACTGAACGTCGAATCGCGAGGGACGGTACGTCAGCCGGACGAGCGGGATCCTCTTACCGGCTTCCCATCGATCCGCTCAGCGAGACCGATCACCGAGGACGACGTGCGATCGCTCGACGACACCGAATGACGCGATTGCTCGACTCTACGATGATGTCGCCGAATTGATTCCCGAGAGTGAGCATCAGGGCGACCTCACCAGAACGCTGACGATCTGGTAGGGCGCGTAGTCGATGAGGCAGGTCGTCTCGTCGACGCGTCGCGGTGCGCCGCGCTCCTGCTCGCGGAAGTCCGCGAGCGTGACCGCGCCGGCGGGTTTGGCAAGGCGCAGTTCCGCGGTGCCACGCCGGCCGGCCGTCTCGTGCAGGCGGATGACGTAGCCGCTGCCGGTCTCACTGGGCAGGACCCACGCCGGGCACAGCGACCCCGGGTGCTCCAGCACGAACGGAGAGGGCCTGGCGGCGCCTGCGACGGTCGTCGGCACCGGGGCGAAGAGCGCGTCGGCGGCGCATGCGGAGGACAGCACCGCGTCCGGACCGCTGCCCAGGGTCGCGGGCTGATGCAGGCCGACCGCGAAGCGGATCGTGTGCCGGCCGGTGTCGGCCGCCGGGTCGGGGTGCCTGGCTGCCTTGAGCAGCGACACACCCAGCTCGCCGTCGAAGCAGGAGAACCCGTACTTGGCCTCGGTCAGGACCGCCAGGCCGGTGCCGTCGTCGTCGTGCACGGCGGCCCAGCGGCTGCCGGCCACCTCCCACATCGCCTCGTCTTCCGGCCGGCCGGGCAGTTGCGGGCGCTCGATGGAGCCGAACGGAGCGCCGAAGGTGGCGGTTCGGCCGCGGTAGCCGGTGGCAGGTGGTAGCGGAGCAGCCGGTGCTCCTCCTGCCAGTCGATGTCGACTCATCACCAGATAGCGGCTGCCGGGGTCGAGCAGGTAGCGGACGGTTGCCCGGCTCGAGTCGCCCATCGGCGCACGGCCCGCAAGCACCCCACGCCGCCCTGAGTGCTCGGCGACGGCGAGCTGCAGGCGGTCGGCGACCGGCCTCATGGTCCCGGCCGTGTAGTGGTCGATCTCCCACGCGTCGTAGTTGTGCGGGTCGTCGTGGCCGAGTCGCAGGCCGGCCGCGCCGGTCAGCTCCAGGCGCCGGCCGTCGACGACCAGGCCCGACGAGCTGGCCGCCGTGGTCGAACGACGCCTGGACGATGCCGTTGTCGAGCCGCGTCGGACTGGCCCCCACACCGGCCACGGCGGCGTGGCCGCCGGGCGCCTCCGTCAGCGGCGCCGTGCCAAGCGGCGGCAGGTCGAGGAGCAGGTCACGCTCGGCGAGGTACACGCGGCGGTGGACGGCCACCGGGTTGAACGCGACGGCATCGCCGCCGTTCGCCAGCTCGGCTGCAGTGGCCTCCTCCTCGCGGGACAGGATCCGGTGAACTCGGCCTCCAGGTCTTCGTACACGCGGCCGATCGAGCTGCCGGGAAGCGCGTCGTGGAACTGTCCGAACAGCACGCGCAGCCACGCCTGCTCGCCGAGCGGCCGGCCGCCATCGGCCACGCGCAGCGCCTCGTGGGTGCGGAGGGCGACCTCGCACGCCCGGTAGAGCCGCTTGTATTCGGCCTGCGACGTGAGCACGCCGCGGTGCGCTTCCATGTAGAGCTCGCCCTGGTAGACCGGCAGGCGATCGCGTACCCGCTCCAGCTCGGCGAAGAACGAGGCGCTGGTCCGCCACGTGTGGCGCGGGGAGCCGGCGAGGTCCCTGAATCGCCGCGCACGCTCGGCCTCCGCTTCGCTCGGCCCTCCGCCGCCATCGCCCAGGCCGGTGCCGATCAGCATCGCATCATGCACGTCGAGTTGGCGGTGGCGGCGGAGCGCCCCGCGGTTCTCTTCCAGCCGGACCTGGCCGTTGTAGCCGGTGGTAGCCAAGTGGGCCACGACCTCGCTTTCGGCGTCGCTACCGCGCCACACGAAGCTGGTGTAGGGGAAGCGAGACACCTGCGACCAGGTGATCTTGGTCGTGTAGAAGCCGCTGATGCCCGCCAGGTGCAGGATCTGCGGCAGGCAGTTGCTGTAGCCGAAGACGTCCGGAATCCAGCACACGTCGCTCGGCGCGCCGGTGAACGCGGCGATGAAGCGGTTGCCGTACACGGCGCTGCGCGCCAGCGCCTCGCCTGCCGGCATGTTCACGTCGGGCTCGACCTCGAAGCCGCCCATCAGCTCCCACCGGCCGGCGGCGATCTGGTGCTTGATCTGCGGGATGAGGGCCGGCGCGTCCTCCTGGACCGCCCGATACACCGCGGGCGTGCTGTGCGCGAAGACCATCTCCGGATAGGCCGAAAGCATGCGGAGCTGCGTGGCGAACGAATGCACGTTCTTGTGGCGCTCGCGATCTCCGGCCACAGCCACACGACGTCGATGTGCGCGTGGCCGATGAGCGCCGCCTGGGGCTGCCAGGACTCGGCGGGCAGCGCGGCGAGCAGCGCCCGTGTCGCTGCGCGCATCGCCTCCACCCCGCCCGACACCCAGGCGTCACAGCTTTCGTCGATGCCCCGAATGAGCCGGCGCAGCAGCGGGGATACGTCGTCGAACGCCGGCCGGTAGCCATGGCCCGTTGCGTCGACGGCCGCGTCCTCGTCCTGGATCAGCAGGTCACCGAGCTGCCGGAGCGCGTCGAGGTCCCACTTCAGGTCCCAAGGCGGCGGCGTCGCGGATGCGCAGCTCGGCGAAGTCGAAGCGCAGCCCATACGGGCCGATCGCCTCCGGCGGCTCGGGAGTCCAGATGCCGGTTTGCCAAGTGGCGGTGTCCAGATAGAGGACGGCCGCCGTGTCTGGCAGCGGGCAGGTCGGGTGGCCGGGATCGAGGCCCGCCCAGGGCACGCCGTCGATGAACGCGGTCGTCTCCCCCTGGCACTTCCAGCGCAGGAAGCGCCGGCCGCGCTCGCCTTCCCGGGCCGCGGGAATCGCCACGCGGAACCACCGGTGCGACCAGTCGCCGTGCGGCGCCCCGAAGTGCTCGCCCGCCGTTACGGGGGTATAGAGGAGGGAGGCGGCCTGCCGGACGTCGAGCATCTCGTCCGTAACGGGGCTTCCTTCTACGGCCAGCCGCTCGCGCCGGACCCAGATCGAGCGGTCGACGTTCTCCTGGATACGGGCCAAGCGGTCCGCCACGAGTTGCGGAAGCGGGTTGAGGCGTCGGCTCATCGGCCAGGTACGGGCTTCAGCAGGATTCTTCCATTGTAGACCGTCACGCGTGATCGCAGCGGCGAAGTGGCAGCCGTCCCGATCGACCAAGTCGACCGCGCGGCACAAGATGATAGTACCTGATCCACAGTCCGGGTTCCCGGAGGAAGCGGCGGCGCTGAGGCTCGCCTACAGCGCGACGGTGCCGCCGGGATCGCTGAGGGAGGGCATCGGGGTGCGCCAGCCGTAGCCGGGGCGGCGGAACAGGCTGGAGGCGGCGGCCGGTCCCCAACTGCCGGCCGGGTAGCCGTGCAGGGGGATGCCGGGGTGATCCCGCCACGCCTTCAGGATCGGGGTCACGAACTCCCAACACGACTCGATCGCATCGGCGCGCGCGTACAGCGTGGCGTCGCCCATGATGCCGTCCAGCAGCAGCCGCTCGTAGGCGTCCGGCAGGTAGGTGTCGGCCAGGTCGGCGTAGCGGAAGTCCAGCCCTACCTGCCGCACGTCGAAGCCGGCGCCCGGCAGCTTCACGTTGCAGCAGAGCTGGATCGCCTCGTCGGGCTGGATGCGGATGATCAGCTTGCTGGCATCCGCGGCGGCCGCGGAGACCGCCCGTTGGCCGTACCCGGCCGGATCCGGTACGCCATCGGTCACCGACGGCGGCGGCGTGCCGAACAGGTGGTGCGGGACCTGTTTGAAGTGAATGACGACCTCGGTCACCCGCGCCCGGCAGCGCCGCTTGCCGGTTGCGGACCAGAACGGCACCCGCCCAGCGCCCGGTTGTCGATGTGGAAGCGCAGCGCCACGTAGGTCTCCGTGCGGGAACCGGCCGGAACGCCGGGCTCCTCGCGGTAGCCGGGCATGGCGCCTTCGGTGGTGAGCGGCCGGTGTATTGGCCGCGCACCACGTCCTCGGACACCTGCGACGGGGCGATCGGCCGCAGCGAGTCGAACACCTTCACCGTCTCGTTGCGCACCGCGCTCGGCCGGAAGTGCGCCGGCGGCTCCATGGCGATCATGCCCACCACCTGCAGCAGATGGTTCTGGAACATGTCGCGCAGCGCGCCCGATCCGTCGTAGTAGCCGCCGCGACCCTCCACTCCCACCTGCTCGGCGGCAGTGATCTCCACGCGGTCGATCGTCGCGCGGTTCCAGAGCGGTTCCCACACCTCGTTCGCGAAGCGCAGGACCAGCACGTTCTGGACCGTCTCCTTCCCCAGGTAGTGGTCGATCCGGTAGATCTGCCGCTCCGTGAACCAGGTGTGCAGCCGCTCGTTCAGCGTCCGGGCCGACTCCAGGTCATAGCCGAACGGCTTCTCGACGATCAGGCGCCGCCACGCGCCGTCCTGCTGTTCCGCGAGGCCGGCGCCGGCCAGCCCGCCGGCGATCGGCTCGAACAGGCTCGGCGGCGTCGCCAGGTAGTAGAGGAAGTTGCCCCCCGTCCCGGCCTCGGCCGCTACCGCGCGCAGCCGCTCGGCGAGCTTCCCGTACTCGCCCGCGGACCCGGTGTCGAGCTGCTGGTAGTGCAACGCGCCGAGAAAACGCTCCCTGTCCGCGGCCGGCTGACCGCCGGCGCCGTTCGCCAGCTCCTCCCCCATCCGGCGGCGGAACCGGTCGTCGCTCATGCCGGTACGGCCGGCGCCGAGCACCGCGAACCGCTCCGGCAGCAGTCCGCGGCGGTACAGCTCGTAGAGTCCCGGGATCAGCTTGCGCGCGGTGAGGTCGCCCGACGCGCCAAAGATCACCATCGTGCACGGGGAGGCCTGCTCCGTCACGGCTGTCATGGCGTGCTGCGTGCTACCGGTCGCGGCCGCCCCGCACCAGGGACACGCCCAGGGCCCCGAACAGTAGCGGCAGAGCGGCGTCGATGAGGATTACGCCAGCGATGCGCGGGATCATGTGCAACCTCCGCCCGCTACTGTGGTTTCCGGCATGCGCCCGTCAATACGGCCATCGCGCGGTCGGGGCGCAGTGCACGGCGATCCTCGCGCCGCTTGTCCCATCGCGCACATCAGACCTATCTATCACTCAGCAAGAAGACAGCAGGATGAGCAGCACACCGAACCCCAACGCCCGCGTCGCATCGGCGCAGGTGCACCCGCTGTTGATCAACCGGTGGTCACCGCGGTCCTTCGCCCCCGATCCGCTGAGCGCCGAGGAGGTCGCCTCGCTGTTCGAAGGCGCCCGCTGGTCCCTGTCCTCCTTCAACGGCCAACCGTGGCTGTTTCTCTATGAGACCGACGGTCCCGACCGGCCGGTCTTCGACTCCGTCTTGATGCCCCGCAACCGCCAGTGGGCGGCCACGGCGCCAGCATGTGGGTTAATCGTCACAGCGAACACCCGGACCCAGCAGAACCATGAAGGCCGCGAGCCCCGCACCGCGCAGTTCGACACCGGCGCGGCATGGATGGCGCTGGCGCTGCAGGCGCAGGCGCTGGGCATCTACACGCACGCGATGGCCGGGATCGACCGCGATGCCGCGCACGGAAGCTTGGCGTAAGCGCCGAGCACTACACCGTGATGTGTGCGTTCGCCGCCGGCAGGCTCGGCCCCCGCGAGTCGCTGCCTCCCGAGTTGCGCGAACGCGAACAGCCCAGCTCGCGCAGACCAACTCATCTACTCGTCTCTCACCCTCACTCCTCACAACACACTCACTTGACACCACACACTCGTCTAAACGACGCAGCAACACCACCACACCCCACACTACGCACGCACACCTCACTCCTCACCACGCACCATCATTTAGCGACTACGCACACTCTAACGACGAAATCGCTCACCGGGGCCTGCTGGGCCAGCTATGAGGCGCTCGCATGAGCACCGGGCCAGTGCGCTAAAATGAGAACGCGATGGCTGATCATCTGAACCTGCTGACCGAGAACCGCGACCGCTACGTCGCCGAGTTGCGCGAGTTCGTACGCATCCCCAGCATCTCCTCGCTTCCCGACCACCAGGACGACGTCCGCACCGCCGGGGGGGGGTGGCGGGGGGGGGGGGGCCGGGGAGACGGCAGGGGGGTTGGGGGCGGGGGGGGAGTGGGGGGTGGGTGGGGGGGGGGGGGGGCGTCGGGGCGGCGGGGTGGGGGGGGGGGGGGGGCCGGGGGTGGGGGGGGCGGGGCGTCGCGGGGGGGGGGGGCGTCCGTGCGGGGGGGGGGGGGGAGGTGGGGGTCGTAGTGGCGTGCGCGACCGCCTGGACCGGACCGGGGTCGAGCACGCCGAGATCCTGGAGACCGGGGCGCAACCGGCCGTGTACGCCGACCACCTGCACGCGCCCGGCGCGCCGACAATCCTGATCTACGCCCACTTCGACGTGCAGCCGGCCCTGCGCTCCGACGGCTGGGACGCGGATCCGTTCGATCCGGTGCTCACCGACGACCGGGTCTACGGGCGCGGCTCCTCCGACGACAAGGGCAACCTGCTGGTCCCGGTGCAGGCGGTGGAGGCACTGCTGGCCCACGGCGGGTCTCGATGCCGTGACGTCAAGTCGCGGAGGGCAGGAGGAGATCGGCAGCCCCACCATGGACCCGTTCGTCTCTGCGCACGCCGACCGTCTGGCCTGCGACCTGATCGTCAGCGCCGACGGCTCGCAGTGGACCGAGACCGAGCCAGGGCTGTGGCTGAGCCTGCGCGGCCTGTGCTCGCTGCAGATCGACGTGACGGGCCCGATGCGCGACGTGCACTCCGGCACCTACGGCGGCGCCATCCACAACCCCATCCACGCGCTGGTACGTATCCTGGACTCGGTATGCGCAGCCGCAGTGCAGGTACTGGGACGCTCTTCGACGCGTGCGCAGCTGTCGACGCCGATCCGCGCGGATCTATCGACCTGACGACCGCATCTCCCGTTCGCGAAGAGCGGAGCTTCCTGGACGGCCTGGGCGCGCAGACGAGCATGTGCGGGAGCGCCTACGACAGAGGCGCGGGCGCGGCAGTGGCGGCGCCCCACGTTGGAGGTCAACGGCATCTGGGGAGGCTTCCAGGGCGACGGGGTCAAGACGGTGCTGCCGAGCCAGGCGCACGCCAAGATCACCTGCCGCCTGGTGGGCGATCAGGACCCGGCCAGGGTCCGCGAGGCGATCGCTGCCCATGTCCGCCGGCACGCCGACCCGGCCGTGGCCGTCGTGAGGTCAGGTCGCTCGGACTCGGCCGGCATGCCGTACAGCCATCCCCGCCGGGCATCCCGGCAACCAGGCCGCGCGCGAGGTGCTCTCGGAGCTGTACGGCACCGAGCCGTACGCGATCGCCTCCGGCGGCAGCATCCCGATCCTGAGCATGTTCGAGCGCTACCTGAACGCCAAGACGGTGATCTTCGCCTTCGCGCTGGAGGACGAAGGCGCGCACGGTCCCAACGAGTTCTTCCGCCTGGCAAGCTACGAGCGCGGTCGGGTGGCGTATTGCAAGCGGCCGCTCGAACGCCTGTCCGGCGATGCGTGGCAAGCGCCGTGACCGTCCGCCTCTGCCGCTCCGCGCGCACCCTCGCACTCGTCCTGGCAGCGCTCTGGATGCCTCGGAGTTGCCGTGCGCCGTGAGTCAGGAAGCTAACCGTTCGAGACACCGATCGGGAGAGACCGAGATCACCGTCGACATATCCCCTGATATGGTCGCCCGCATCCAGGAGATGGCGGCGCTCACCGGCGCCGAGCTGCCGGAAGACGGGATCGTCAACCTGGATGGGATCCGCAGAAGCCTGAGCGCCCGTCCCGGCGTGACGGTCATCAGAGTCGAGTTGCCCGAAGCGCACCGTGTGCAAGTCGAGTTCGCATTCGCGGATGCGCCGGCCATCTTTCCCAGCGCCAGCCTGCTGTGGGAAGCCGGGATCGTCACGTTCGAGGATGTCGAAGAGGGCACCCGCGTCCGTCTCTACCTGGACCTGGACAACTACAAGCACCTCTCCGAGTTCCCTTGCTCGACGACCCCGTCGTCCGCGCCATGGGACCCGAGGAGAACACCGAGATCACCTCAGAGGACTATCTGACGATGATGGGCTTCGTCCTGGGTCCGAGCGGTTCGGACGCCATCGCCGACTCGCTGATCACCATCGAGCTCACCGTTGAAGGCGAGTTGGTCTCCCAGAGCGGCGGCCGCGTCGAGGACGGCGTGGCGATATTCGAGGTGCCCCTGCTCGACCTGCTACTCCTGCACGAACCCATCGATCTGCAGGTCGTGTTCCGGTAGGGCGAGCGGCCGGTGGGCGCCACAGATCGACGAATGTGCCGTCGAACGATCGGCTTGCTGACGTTGTTGGCGATGGTCGACCTGCGCTCGGCGACTCGATCATCTTCGATGCCAAGGGTGAGATCGTACACGATGGGACCATATGCGCGGGAGACCGTGCAAGGGAATAAGGGGCGGAGACAGCGGCGGTCCTCCAACATTATACTCGGGTATAATGTTGGAGGGGCGCATGCATACCACCAATCTACGCAAGGTCGGCGGCTCCGTCATGCTCGCGGTGCCCCCGGCGCTGCTTGATGTCCTGGAACTTCGGGCCGGCGCCAGGGTGGACATCGGGATCGAGGAAGGCCGCTTGATCGTCGCGCCGAGAACGCGGCCTAGCTACACCCTCGACGAACTCCTCGCGCAGTGCGACGAGACCGCACCGGCCGACGACGGGGATCGCGCTTGGCTTGAGGCCAGGCCGGTCGGCAACGAGCCCCCCC